ATATTGAATAGCAGTGGTGAGAGTGGGCATCCTTGCCTGGTGCCACATTTCAAGGGAAATGCTTCCAGTTTTTGCCCATTCAGTATGATATTGGCTGTTGGTTTGTCATAAATAGCTTTTATTATTTTGAGATATGTTCCATCGATACCTAGCTTATTGAGTGTTTTTAGCATAAAGGGCTGTTGAATTTTGTCAAAGGCCTTCTCTGCATCAATTGAGATAATCATGTGGTTTTTGTCTTTGGTTCTGTTTATGTGGTGAATTACGTTTATAGACTTGCGTATGTTGAACCAGCCTTGCATCCCTGGGATGAAGCCTACTTGATCATGGTGGGTAAGCTTTTTGATGTGCTGTTGCAATCGGCTTGTCAGTATTTTATTGAAGATTTTTGCATCTATGTTCATCATGGATATTGGCCTGAAGTTTTCTTTTCTTGTTGAGTCTCTGCCGGGTTTTGGAATCAGGATGATGTTAGTGTCATAAAATGATTTGGGAAGAATTCCCTCTTTTTGTATTGTTTGGCATAGTTTCAGAAGAAATGGTACCAGCTCCTCTTTGTATGTCTGGTAGAATTCAGCTGTGAACCCATCTGGACCTGGGCTTTTTTTGGGTGATAAGCTCTTAATTGCTGCCTCAACTTCGGACCTTGTTATGGGTCTGTTCAGGGTTTCGGCTTCTTCCTGGTTTAGGCTTGGCAGGAGGCAAGTGTCCAGGAATTTATCCATTTCTTCCAGGTTTATTAGTTTGTGTGCGTAGAGTTGTTTGTAATAATCTCTGATGATGGTTTGAATTTCTGTGGAATCTGTGGTGATATCCCCTTTATCGTTTTTTATTGCATCAATTTGGTTATTCTCTCTTTTCTTTTTTATTAATCTGGCTAGTGGTCTGTCTATTTTGTTGATCTTTTCAAAAAACCAGCTCCTGGATTTATTGATTTTTTGAAGGGTTTTTTGTGTCTCTATCTCCTTCAGTTCTGCTCTGATCTTCGCTATTTCTTGTCTTCTGCTAGACTTTGAGTTTTTTTGATCTTGCTCCTCTAGCTCTTTCAGTTTTGACGATAGGGTGTCAATTTTTGATCTCTCCTTGCTTCTCATGTGGGCACTTATTGATATATATTTTCCTCTAGAGACTGCTTTAAATGTGTCCCAGAGATTCTGGTATGTTGTGTCTTCATTCTCGTTGGTTTCAAAGAACATCTTTATTTCTGCCTTCATTTCATTGTTTATCCAGTCAACATTCAAGAGCAAGTTGTTCAGTTTCCATGAAGCTGTGCGGTTCTGAGTTAGTTTTTGAATTCTGAGTTCTAACTTGATTGCATTGTGGTCTGAGAGACTGTTTGTTACGATTTCCGTTCTTTTGCATTTGCTGAGGAGTGATTTACTCCCAATTATGTGGTCAATTTTAGAGTAGGTGTGATGTGATGCTGAGAAGAATGTATATTCTGTGGATTTGGGGTGGAGAGTTCTGTAAATGTCTATTAGGTTTGCTTGGTCCAGGTCTGAGTTCAAGTCCTGGATATCCTTGTTAATTTTCTGTCTAGTTGATCTGTCTAATGTTGACAATGGGGTGTTAAAGTCTCCCACTATTATTGTGTGGGTGTCTAAGTCTCTTTGTAAGTCATTAAGAACTTGCCTTATGTATCTGGGTGCTCCTGTATTGGGTGCGTATATATTTAGGATCGTTAGCTCTTCTTGTTGCATTGATCCTTTTACCATTATGTAATGTCCCTCTTTGTCTCTTATGATCTTTGTTGCTTTAAAGTCTAATTTATCAGAGATGAGAATTGCAACTCCTGCTTTTTTTTGCTCTCCATTTGCTTGGTAAATCTTCCTCCATCCCTTTATTTTGAGCCTTTGTGTATCCTTCCATGTGAGATGGGTTTCCTGGATACAGCACACCGATGGGTTTTGTCTTTTTATCCAATTTGCCAGTCTGTGTCTTTTGATTGGGGCATTTAGTCCATTTACATTTAGGGTTAATATTGTTATGTGTGAATTTGATACTGCCATTTTGGTGCTAGCTGGCTGTTTTGCCCTTTAGTTGAGCTGGTGCTTGTTGTTCCTTTATATGTGTAGAGCCTCTTTCAGGAGCTCTCGTAGAGCTGGCCTGGTGGTGACGAAGTCTCTGAGTACTTGCATGTTCCCAAAGGATTTTATTTTTCCTTCACTTATGAAGCTTAGTTTGGCTGGATAGGAGATTCTGGGTTGAAAGTTCTTTTCTTTAAGGATGTTGAATATTGGCCCCCATTCTCTTCTGGCTTGTAGGGTTTCTGCTGAGAGATCTGCTGTGAGTCTGATGGGCTTCCCTTTATGGGTAACCCGACCTTTCTCTCTGGCTGCCCTTAGTATTTTCTCCTTCATTTCGACCCTGGTGAATCTGACGATTATGTGCCTTGGGGTTGCTCTTCTTGACGAATATCTTTGTGGTGTTCTCTGTATTTCCTGGACTTGAATGTTTGCCTGCCTTGCTAGGTTGGGGAAGTTTTCCTGGATAATATCCTGAAGAGTATTTTCCAGCTTGGATTCATTCTCTTCGTTGCATTCGGGCACGCCTATCAAACGTAGATTAGGTCTTTTCACATAGTCCCACGTTTCTTGGAGACTTTGTTCGTTCCTTTTTACCCTTTTTTCTCCAGTCTTGCCTTCCGTTTTATTTCATTGAGTTGATCTTCGACCTCTGATATCCTTTCTTCTGCTTGGTCAATTCGGCTGTTGATACTTGTGCATGCTTCACGAAGTTCTCGTGTTGCGTTTTTCAGCTCCATCAATTCACTTATATTCCTTTCTATTTTGTTCATTCTTGTTAGCATTTCGTCAAATCTTTTTTCAAGGTTCTTAGTTTCTTGGCATTTGGTTAGAACATGTTCTTTAAGTTCACAGAAGTTTCTTACTACCCACCTTGTGAAGTCTGATTCTTGTGTCCCTTTTTTCAGTTCTGCTCTGATCTTAGTTATTTCTTGACTTCTGCTAGCTTTTGAATTTGTTTGCTCTTCGTTCTCTAGTTCTTTTAATTGTGATGTTAATTGTTGATTTTAGATCTTTCCTGCTTTCTTTTGTGGGCATTTAGTGCTATAAATTTCCCTCTAAACACTGCTTTGGCTATGTCCCAGAGATTCTGGTACATTGTGTCTTTGTTCTCATTGGTTTCAAAGAAGTTATTTATTTCTGCCTTAATTTCATTATTTACCCAGTAGTCTCTCAGGAGCAGATTTTTCAGTTTCCATGTAGTTGTGTGGTTTTGAGTGAGTTTCTTAATTCAGAGTTCTAATTTGATTGCACTGTGGTCTGAGAGACTGTTTGTTATGATTTCCATTCTTTTGCATTTGCTGAGGAGTGTTTTACTTCCAATTATGTGGTCGATTTTAGAATAAGTGTGATGTGGTGCTGAGAAGAATGTATATTCTGTTGATTTGGGGTGGATAGTTCCATAGATGTCTGTTAGGTCCACTTGGTCCAGAGCTGAGTTCAAGTCCTGAATATCCTTGTTAATTTTCTGTCTCATTGATCTGTCTGATATTGATAGTGGGTGTTAAAGTTTCCCACTATTTTTGTGTGGGAGTCTAAGTCTCTTTGGAACTTGTGGGAGTCCATGTCTCTAAGAACTTGCTTTATGAACCTGGGTGCTCCTGTATTGGGTGCATATATGTTTAGGATAGTTAGCTCTTCTTGTTGCATTGATCCCTTTATCATTATGTAATGCCCTTCTTTGTCTTTTTTGATCTTTGTCGGTTTAAAGTCTGTTTTATCAGAGACTAGGATTGCAACCCCTGCTTTTTTTTTTTGCTTGTTATTTGCTTGGTAAATATTCCTCTATCCCTTTATTTTGAGCCTATGTGTGTCTTTGCACATGTGTCTTTGCATGTGAGATGGATCTCCTGAATACAGCACACTGATGGGTCTTGACTCTTTATCCAGTTTTCCTGTCTGTGCCTTTTAATTGGGGCATTTAGCCTGTAAACATTTACATTTAAGGTTAATATCGTTGTGTGTGAATCTGATCCTGTCATTATGATGCTGGCTGTTTGTTTTGCCCATTAGTTGAGATGGAGTCTTGCTCTGTCACCCAGGCTGGAGTGCAGTGGTGCGACATTGGCTCACTTCAACCTCTGACCCCGGGTTCAAGTGATTCTCCTGCCTCAGCCTCTTGAGTAGCTGGGATTACACGTGCACACCACCACACCCAGTTAATTTTTGTATTTTTAGTAGAGATGGGGTTTCACCATGTTGGTCAGACTGGTCTCAAACTCCTGACCTCGTGATCCGCCCACCTCAGCCTCCCAAAGTGCTGGGATTACAGATGTGAGCCACGTGCCCTGCCCATGGCATCTTTTGTATGAGTTGAAAGCAATGAAATTTTGGAAGAGGAGGTAATTTACGTATATAATCAGAGATGAATGTCAAACTTTATCTTCCCAGTAAGATAGAATTACAAATAGAATCACTTTTTATCTTAAAATTTCTTATACTTAAAATACCTTATACTTGGAATTCCTGTGGGTATGGTCAAGTTTTGACAATGCCTTTCATAAACCCTTTTAAAATTGATTATAGTTTTGAAATTTAAGAGGATATAGTAGTCATCATAGGTTTACTGCTGTAATAAACAAGCTTGCAATCTTGGTGGCCTAATCCAATAAAGGTTTATTTTTCTCACATGTTACAGCCAATGTGGGTTGCAGCAGGTGTGGGCTCTGGACCCAGGTGTTTGAATCTGGCAGCTCCTAAGTCAATCCTTAGAGCCCTTCCCTGGCTCCTGTGTCTCTGGCTGCCAGATGAGAAGAGAGAGTCGGGGGAAATGCACAGGAGACCTGGGAGCGGCATCTGTCACTCCACCCACAGGCATTGGCCAGTGCTCCCACCATTGGCTCTGCCTAACCACAAGGGAAGCTGGGAAGTGGTGTCTGTCTCTGTGCCCACTTGGAAAAGGCACTGGGGTTTAGGGACAGGGATGAGTTGCTATTGCAAGGCTGACCTCTTTTCTCTATTTTGTTTCTTTTCCAGGAGACTTCTTGGCATCATCACAAAAAAGGATGTTCTGAGACATATGGCCCAGATGGCAAACCAGGACCCCGAATCCATCATGTTTAATTAGCAACAAGGTGGCAATTATTTTCAGAAAAACACTGACTGTGTCATTTAAAAAGAAATAAATGATATGTTATTATTCCAATGAAAGATCACGCATTGGGGACAGCAGAAACAAAAGCTTTGTTTGAAAGGAGGGGAAGAAGAATGAAACCTTTAAAAACAAAAGTATCAATGATTAGGCATTTTATAGCTTTAACCCCATATGAGTTTCAAGCTGTGTTTCCTAATGAGTTTGCTACTGCTGTGGGGGCATGTGGGTGGGTGTAAATGATGTGATCTATACAAGTATGTGGAGCATGAATGCTGACTTAAGAAACTTTTACCCCTTCTTCTCAAGGCTGATGTTTGTAACTTACAAACACACGTGAAGCGTTGAGTCCAAGAGACAAAAGGGTATCAGCATGTCAGCATCCTTATTTATTGGTTCTTGAAGTTTTGCTGCTATGTTACTGAATCATATTAAAGACATTTGCACTTACTTTGATGAAAAAGAAAAATTAAATTTGAACACAGTGAAAGCTGCAAGTATGCCAGTGGGTTCGCTCACAACCATCCCATTTCTTGCTCCTGTTCTCAGCCCGTTATCTGACTTATCCATCAGTTTCCGAACCAACACCAGGCGCGCCTGCCATGATGAGTGTGAAGAAATCATTTCTCTATGCAAGACTGGCATCCTGGGCCTGCATGATGAACTATTGGAGCATATAGTACTGTGCTGTGTCTCCTCCCATACAAAGGGACGCATCGTTATTTTGAGGGTATACACACCCGATCATTGATTTGCATCCCCATTGCATTTGCTTCATTTATTTATTGCTTTTGCCCATGCATTCAATATTGATCATCTCAGCACTTCATGAGCCATAGCTGGTAGTCTCCCAGTCTGTCATAAGCGTGCTTTCATTTACAGTAGCATATGCAAGAGTCCAAACAGGCTACCCAGTGTTACCACTTATTTTTCCTCTCAGGTCTTATCAGATACGACTGGAGAGGATGAGGCATATGAGTTCTCAGTGGGAACCCCTCCAAATGGATTGCAAGAGAAATACTAAATTGATTCTAAATCTGTTCCATTATCTTCTCTGTAGGATGCAAAATGTCCAGTTTGAATGTATAAGCATGTGCTTCATACTTGCAATCACAGCACAGGAGGACAGTGTTAAATTTTATACAGCCAATTTGAGCACCGGGCATTTTTGTATTTGAACTTAATGACACATTTACTCTTTTAGTCAGGATTTTGGTCTTTTCTGCAGAAAGGAATTAAGCTATGTATTAGATCCACCATATGATCTGTGTAAGTTAAGATTATCCCACTTGCCTTTGCTCTTAAGTCTTTGTCCCTGCCTTTTCACTGAGTGCCCTTCGTCCTTTTCAATCTCATTGTCACTGGATAGTGCTGCATCACTTGGGTGTGCATTTGGCTGCAAATAACAGAACACCCAGCAAACATTGAAGGGCTGAGTAAGAACCCTGAGAGGGGATACTCCAGGACTGTCTCCATAATATCATTGGGTTCCCCATTCCGTTGCTATTTCATTTTCACCATTTTTACCTTTTGTCCTCTGGCTTATTGCCTCAGAGTTGAAAGATGGTTCCTGAACCATCAGGTATCACGTCTGCTTTCTAAGTGGGAAGAGAAAAGGAGAGGCAAGCAACTAGGTACAATGTCTATCAGGAAAGGAAAGCTTCCCCAGAGATGCTTAGCTTGTATTCGTTGGCTGGAAGTCTGCCATGTGGCTCCTGGTAGCCACACACTAATGTGGGAAGGAAAATATTGAGCTAGGCACATTACTCTCTGAACGACATTCATATTATCTGACTAAGGAAGAGTGTTGGTCTTCAGGAGGGGAAGTTTGCCGTATTGGATGCCATCATTATGTCCTTGTCATTGCCCTTCCTGTCTTCAATCTTGCCAAACTTCTGTCAATGTTCTTCTAACCTTCTTGCTCCCCATCCCTTCTCTTAGATTTGACCTAGAAGTCCCAGCCCAAATCCATAATTTCTTAACCCTCATAAGAATTTTCATGTTGGACAAAAATCAAGCTACAAATGGGTTTTCATGAAACTTCTAATTAATGTGCAAAATATATATTTTCTCGAAGTTAAGAAATTTTAAATCAGATCATGCTGACACACTAAGAACATTTGTGTGATTCATTGGTTCCTTCGTTTCAAAGTAACATCCAACAGCCACCTCAGTATGGCAATATCCAGTCAATAGTAGAGAATTTAATCATTGGTCCTATAAAAGAATAAAATTCATTGTCTTATTTATAGCATGTAAGCCTTGAGTAACAGGTCTTAATGTTAGTGTTGGTATTGTGGTTTCCATGGAACGTTAACAAGTGAAGTCGGGTTTTCCTGGACTTTAAATCCTAAAAAGTCTTAACGACCACTTCATGTAGTTCCCCTCTTATTGCCCTGTGGTCTCCTCAGAGTCAGTGCATGCTGGGAAAGAGTACTAGTCATAGCCTGGCTTTGTAGAATCCAGGAGGTCCTTTTAGTTGAAACAAATAGCTTCCAAAGGGAACCTGAAACAGTGAAAACATAGCCAGAGGTCAGTGAAACCACAGCCTTTCTTTCTAATCTGGCTGAGGCCAAGGAGGGAAATGAGAGGAGAATATGCTTCCCGGCCAAGGTCACCGAGCGGGACCTTGGGATTTGCGTCCTCCCCAATGCTTAGAGTAGACATATCTGCAAATTCATGGCATACAGTTGTAAGAGTTGCTTGACTGAAACAACCCATTCTTACTTTACTTTGCAAATTGAGCCTCTAATTTATTGTGGGGTTCAGGCTTTCCTCAATAGAAGGCCAGAGTCAGAGGGGTGGACTAAGGTCAAGGAAGAGGAGTCTGTGGTAGGGACTGCCACAGCAAACTGCCTTCCTTCTGTGGAGTCCTAACTCAGCCATGTGGTCCACTCACCCATGGGCCTGGGGGCTCAGACAAACCCCATGGAAAACATGCTGATGTGCTCTGTCTCTCTTTCTTGTAAATGTACTTGGGTAGGGATCCTGAGAGTATTTGCTGTCTCCAAATGCAGAACTTATATCCACTTTATCTGGTGATCTGATGAACAGCACAGAGATGTGGAGATAAAATAAGTATCTTTCAGAATAATGTTTTCTTTTTCTTCTTCTTCCAGAACCAAAAGCTTTAGACATTTCTAGAACTGTCTGGGTTATCTCTGAATCAGTTTTTAACATAAAAAACCACCAACACATCATGGGAAAGGCACTCTGTCATGACACACATCATCTGTTTCTTGCTTTTACTGAGGAAATGTGTTATACAAAAGCACCAAATAAGGGGACCCTGGAAGTGATGTGTGCATTTCTTTTAAGTGGATTTTAGTGCATCCCCTGGGAATACAGATGCTCATGTGGCTTTTAGGGAAAGGCAGAATGTGCTAGAAGTCAGTCATTCAATATTCAATGCTTACTGTTACTTTGAACCAGGTAATCTCAGTTCTTTATTCGGTCCTTCCCAAAGACCTTACAAAGGAGATGTCCAAATAGATAGATTTTGAGCCTAATAAGTCACAGAAATGGAAAATTTTAGAGGAGTTTCTTTCACTTAGGTGAGAACTGATTACTTTAAATTACCAATATGTGCAAATTCTACTTAGTATTCATTATTAGATTCTGAGCTGGAAAAGATGAGAAACCCAAGGAGAACTGTTGAATTACCATGCAATTGTAATATTATGCTTTCATTTTAACTTTGTGTGGGCAGTATTTTATTAGACTAAGCTTGTAGCCTTTGAAATGATTTACATGAGGAGAGAGCCTGTATATCTGACTTGGGAAACATTAAGCAGACTCTATTTTCACTGGCGCAGTAATAACTATTTATTTGCCATCCTAGAGGTGCTGGGAATGAGCCTACGTGCAACTTTTATGAGATATATTCACATTTGGTGTTGGAACGACCACATAGAAAAGTGTTTTTTTTTTTTTAAATTGTAATACTCTGTGTAAATGTTGGCACCTTATTAAATATTAAATGTTTGAACTCTATTTTTAAAAATAAAACAAGCACAGAGTCCGCAACAAACATATTGTAAATGGAAGAGATACTGATTTCACAGTGTGTTTCTACACAGTAGAACCTCCGGAAACCTGGTTCCTGTGACTTGGTTGGACTATTCGGTAAAGTTAAAGACTCATCCTTAAGACTGATAAACAGATTGTGAAGTCCATTCAGTCAGCTTTAAAATTCCTTGTTCTTGGCTGGGTGGGTGATGACCAAATAAAAATTCAGACTGAGGCTATCCGTTTCCAAGGATTGGGTAGGAACACTGTCCGCAGGCCATGTGTGTGTTTGCCCTGTGTGAAGGCTGGGGAGTACAGTTTGGGCAATGGTTTAACATTCATTCATTCTTTCATCCTTTCTTTCAACAGAAAATTTTCTATTTATTACTTTGGGAACCACAAGGGTTGAATTATGTCTTTTCCCACCAGTTTTTTTTTTTTTTTTAACTTTCTACTTTACAGAAAATTTGGAAGAAAGACAAGAAAGGAACAAAGGATGCCTACAGATCCTTGACCTAGAAGAGGTGCTATTTAATATGGGTGGTTAGAGGAATCCTTGCTGGTTAGGGGAGGGGACCAGCTGGGGGCACAGCTGGGGAAAGGGTATCCTCAGCAGAGGGGACAGCAACTGCAAGTGTCCTAAGATGGAAATGGGTCTAGCCTGCTGGGGGCCCACCAGGGGTGGATGGCTGCAGCCTTGGGATGGGAGTGGGGGTATTTGAAGTTGGGTTTGTTTTCCTTTTGGGAGGAGGGTAGACACAGCAGATGCTTCAGAGTCTTCAAGGACCAGGTAAAGTCCTGGAATTCAGGGGAGTGACATGATTTGACTCGTGTTGTCCACAAACCATTCTGGCTGTTGGACAGCAAGACTGGAAGCCAGGGCTCTGGATAAGAGTCTATTGGAAATAGGCCAGGCACGATGGCTCACACCTGTAATCCTAGCACTTTGAGAGGCCGAGGTGGGCGGATCACTTGAGATCGGGAGTTTGAGACCAGCCTGGCCAACATGATGAAACCCTGTCTCTACCAAAAAAATACAAAAATGAGCCAGGCGTGGTGGCAGGTCCCTGTAATCCTAGCTATTTGGAAGGTTGAGGCACAAGAATCGCTTGAACCTGGGAGGCAGAGGTTACAGCGAGCCGAGATCGTGCCACTGCACTCCAGCCTGGGCAACAGTGCAAGACTCCATCTTAAAAAAACAAAAAGAGTCTATTGCAAATAGGCGAGTGATGATGGGAGCTTGCCCTAGAAAATTCTTGAATTCCAGTTATACAGTTGCTCCTCAGTATCTGTGGGAGATTTCTTTCAGGACTCCCCCATAGATTCCAAAATCCATGATGCTTAAGTCCCTTATATAAAATGCTGTATTATTTGCATAGAGTCTGCCCATGTCCTCCTGTCTACTTTAAACATTCTCTAGCCTACTTAGAATACTTAGTTCAATGTAATGCTATGTAAACAGTTGTTACACTGCATGTTTATGGAATAGTGACAAGAAAAAAGTCTGTACATGTTCAGTACAGATGCAACCAGCCATTTTTTTCCTGAATATTTTCAATCCACAGTTGAATCCACAGACGCAGACCCCATGGAGATGGAGGGCTAACTGTAATTCCAAGGTAGAGGCAACAGATTTGCTGATGGAACTTATATAAAATGGCACAACCAAGTTGCTATTTACTGAGATGGGCTAGACTAGGTGAGGAGCTCCCTTTTGGAAATGCTACATGAGAGATGTCTCTTAGACATTCAGGTTTGGAGTTCAGGGGAATCATTACGGTTTGAGATGTAAATGAAGCCATTGGCATATTGGTGGCATCGGTGGCATTTAAAGCTATGCCTGGAAACTTTTGTGGTCTCATGATATCCTAAGAGCAGAGTACAATCTTTTTTTTTTTTTTTTTTTTGAGATGGGAATCTCGCCCTGACACCTAGGCTGGAGTGTAGTGGTATGATCTTGGCTCACTGCAGCCTCCGCCTCCAGGATTCAAGCAATTCTCCTGTCTCATCCTCCTTAGTAGCTGGGATTACAGGTGCACACTACCACGCCTAGCTAATTTCTGTATTTTTGGTAAAGACAGGGTTTCACCATGTTGACCAGGCTGGTCTCAAACTCTTGACCTCAAGTGATCTGCCTCCCTCGGCCTCCCAAAGTGCTAGGATTACAGGCATGAGCCACCGCTCCCAGCCAGAATCATTTCCTAAAAATTTCAATATTG